ATAGAGAAAATTACAAAAGAATTTCTAAAAACTGTTTATAATAACAAAATATTGCAAGTGCTGCTAGATTCGTTTTTATACATTTTTATTTTCCCATCATATGTGCAACGCATAGAAGAAGACATCTCCGATTCCATAAATTATATATATGTCTGACTTTTGTCTGTCTATACATCTGTCCGTCTATCAATCCGACCGCCTGTCCATCTGTCTATTTCTACGCGAACTAGTCAGTTCAGTTTTAAGACATGAAAGTCCCTCTTGGTGTTGCACGCAATACATATGTCAAAACTGGCCGGATCGGACGACTATATGATATAGCTGCCATAGAACGATCGGTTGGCAATTAGATTTTTGTACGGAATACTTTTCGTTTATCAAGATAAACTCTTCTTTAATTAGCTTCACTCTGCTCCTCATATATTTGCCCAATCAATGCCATCACATTGAGAGAGAGGCGCCTCCAATTGTTACATCCCGGCGAATCCTTTAAATGCCTGACAGTCAGGTCCCCCTTCCCTTGTAACTATACCTTATTGTTACCTTGATAGAGATCAGAAGATACATATCGATTTCAGCGTTATAAGTACAACAATTTGAACTAGTACAAAAAAAAAAACATGGACGAGCTTAAGTACTCTTACATATCCGCTAAAAGGTAAAGCAAATGTCCAGAAGGGTATTTATTCTACTTTCTCCTTAAACTTTAGTTTAGAATTTGACAGATTTAATTTACAATTCTATGCCTCTAAGATTCTTATATTTTAAAGTAAATAAGATTATAGTTAGCTATACTTTCTTGGTTTATTGGACTTGTCGAGAAAGAGTCTATAGCTTGACAACCAAACTTATATGGTTTTTTATGACTCAAAGAAAGTCTTTTTTTTTCAATCCCTCTTTCAAGTTCAAGAACCCAAATGAACTCTAAGATTTACCAGCTGCTACGCATTACTCATTAGCAGCGCTCTAATCACCTGTGCGTGTGTCAGGCAAATATAGTGTGGCAGATTATTTGGCAGCTCGTGTCAAATCCGATGAACAAAGCAGAACGCTAGACAAAATTAAACAAAGATGACGGGCTGACTAGTTCCAAGAATTGCTCCAGAGTTGAATGAAACAGTGCTCGTGCGGGTTAAATGGACGCAACGAGTTTTAAGTATTAAATTCAACATTTATTGATAAACACGCTTATCATCTGGCCGTACTTGCTTCAGACCCGGAGGCAGCTCCATTTAAGGCTCGAGGCGAGTCATTTACAGTTATGGTTAAACAGCTTTCAACAATTAGTAAACACTTAAGCTGCAAAATGTACACAAAAGTCCTTGAGCTGGCATTATTGGAGGATTGTGTGTGTGTGTGTGTATGCGTGTGCGAGTTGCGGCATTCGCCCAGCATGGTCCTTGTTCCTTGCTAATCGAGGCTGTCGTTCTATATCCTTCTAGAGATGTTGCTACTAGCTCTGCTCGCTCTTCCTCTTCTCCCCATATTGCTTTTATTTATTATACCCTTGCAGGGGGTATTATAATTTTGTCGTGAAATGTGTAACGCATAGAAGGAGACATCTCCGACCCCATAAAGTATATATATTCTTGATCAGCATCAACAGCCGAGTCGACAGAGCCAAGTCCGTCTGTCCGTATGCCTGTTTCTATGCGAACTAGTCCCTCAGTTTTAAAGCTATCTTAATGAAATTTTGCAAAAATCCGTCTTTCTGTTGCACGCAGCACATATTGAAAACCAGCAGGATCGGACCACTATTTCATATAGCTGCCATAGGAACGATCGGTCGAAAATGAAGTAGTTGTATGAAAAAACATTTTGTTTATCAAGATCAAGATTACCAAACTCGGCATTAACTATTTTCCCTGTGCTTCTTAGATACGGGCACTATAAGCATTATGAAAAGGTTGGGTCTACAAGGGTATTAGATCTTCGGCGTGCCGAAGATAGCATTTCTTTCTCGTTTTTTTTTTTTTTGTTATTGTGCCGGGAATTAAGCGTTCAACTTATATTGTGGCCCGCGCTGTCCGCTTAAGCTGCACGCGTGTCGCCAGCTTGTGGCTCGGACAGATGTCAAGAGCGCATCTTTTTAAATTTTAACAATCATGAAACTTTATCTTCGCTTCCGCGTATAACATAATTATTTTCTAGCATAAATAAAGCAAAAGATACAAAGTTATATGTGTTTTCTGCTCATCTTGAAGGGACTCGATCTCCAATTTTCGTACCCACTTAAAATAGCATTTGTTTAACATTATAAAGGCACTTGAGCTATTCGGCATAATTGTAAACTGCGCTCTTTTTCAAGATTTACATGCGACGCCTTTGGGCTGTATTTTGATTACAAATTCCTGGGCTTCGCGCAAGTATATGTTATATTGCCAGTAGATTTTACGACTTGCTAGCTGGCAATGTACTCAGCTTTTCAGATTTTGTTCGTGGGGCTTCAGCATTTCTAGAGCTTATCTCTATGTCTGCTTTCGTATGCATTGGGCTAAGTTAGGGCCATAAAAATGATGGCCGTCAATGAACATTTGGCCAATATAACGTTTCGACGTCTCGCTGCCTTAAGTTATGCAACAGTAAATAGAACGCGCCAATTTTATGACCGAGAAGTTAGATCTTGTCGTTAATACAGAGAGAGATATATAGAGAGGGTAAGAGAGAACGAGAGAGAGCGAAGAGGGGGAGCCACGCTTGGCTAATAGCCGAAGGCTTTAAATTGAGCAAAAACTCATCTAATTGCAGCCCCGAAAACTGTCGTCGACTTATAGTTCATTTAACAGTCGACTCTCGGCAAGTTTGACAAATTGCATGCCCGACATAATGATGGGCCAATTGAGCATGGGCCCGGAGGCATGCAACAATAAATCACACTGGCTGTGGGATTTCTGCAACGACTTGCGCCCAAAAAGTACTTAATGACAGTTGGTCGGGCCAGGGCACGACCAAAGCTTTGTTGGGGCAACAAAAAAACTTATATTACAGACTTTTTTGCATAGTATTTTCTATATATATATATATATATATAAAGATGAACAGCCGAGCAATGCATTGATTTATTCACCCCAAATCGTGTATTGGGCCAGATGTTTTGAGTCAAGCAATCAGAAACGAAAAACGGGCTCAGCTAAATACTTGATTATTGGATGTGTTTGGGTGTGTATTTGTGTGTGTGTGTGTCTTTGTGTGCATTTGAACTTCATGAATATTAAATGTGCAGAAAATTGTACAGAATTTAACAAAGGAAATGCAACTATTGTTCGAATACATGAGAAAGTTAAAGCAGAACGAATTGATGTGCAAATACCCTGTACTTAGCTCGGGGAATCGGGAGCGAACATGGCTAGAACAATACTCTGTAAGGAGGAAAGCTAGGAATGTGTTAAGGACATATATAAGGTGTATTGATCGGCAATATAGTAAATATGCTTACCTATAACTAGAGTATTTGCTTTCAATATACCTTATATATTCTTATTTGTGCACTTCTTTCACCTACCCCCCGTCACCCTTTACGCGCGGCCCCCCCAGTACACCACTTTTATGGTACACATAGTTAAGTTACAGAGTGTTTTTAGCTTGTAATTTGAAGCTTCTGGAAGCTTTTGTTTCTTTTGTCTTTTGACAATTAGCCACCCACATAATAAGCCTGATTTCAAGCCAAAAACCCAAATGTCACATTGGATATCATATGTCGTGATGTCAAATGGCATATTTAATGGGAATTTGCCGGAATTCAAAAGAGTTGAAGAGCATTAAATTACACAAATTATTTCTGCACTTTATTGATTTGTAAATTGTTGCTTTAAAATGTTTTCACCTTTGGCTGCATGCGTTGGAAATTCTTGATTACGCACAATTGATTGTGATACCCGTTAGAAGTGAGAAAGATAGGGTATATTCAAGCAGCACAAAGAATTTAATACCACATGTGTTCCCCCCAGCCATAAAACCGCTAAAAGAAGCTTTTAGCTGCTTTTATTTGGTATACATAAAGCTTTTTTTTATAGCATGAACAGTCCAGAGTGAGCCGAAAGTAGAATAGCCAAATTTATATGTGCTGTATACAGAGTATCTTCGAGTCGGTCATGCGCGATTAGCGTAGAGTTGCAGCTGTTGCAAGAGTTGCAGCAGTTGCAGCTTCATTCCATTTGCCACTCGCCGTTTTATTCCATACCATAAACCGATTTTATTTGGCGCTCAGATTACACAGAGCTGGGTATGATTAGTGTGTTGCACAGTTTTGTAGCCTTTGTGCGGCTTGGCAACACTCGGACTGGCCAATTGGCATTTCGAATTGCTTGGCCATAAAACTGGAAATTCATTTTGCATGTGCCACGCCCATCAACAGCTTTTGGCAGTCTTGGTGTTTATGTCGCCCACAAGAGACTGCATAATTTCCATTGTAAATATATGCAAATTGAATCTGTTAGTCTGTGTAAAAGTGTGTTTATATGAAGAACAACGCAGCCATAAAGACGTGCTATTGCGTCTTGACATGCCGTGGCTTAGTTGTCTGAGCGTCGAACTAACAAGTGTGAGGTCGCTGGTTCAAATTTGGCAGCAATTCTTCATTTACAGTCAACGATTTGCTTTTTTTTGCAGCTGTCGCAAACGAAGCAAACAATTTTGCATAATTCAATTGTTCCGAGCGACGCCGGGTAATTTCTGCTAGTTCACTATGCATAGCGTATATCATATCATTTATGTAGCTTAAACACATTTTATTGCCAAATTACATGCGATAAAAGCAAAAAGTTCTACACGTTCTGCATGCTCTTAGGGTTGGGCTTATTTTCAAGGTCATATCTTTTATGTTTGTGGATTTATCAAATCGCAATTTTTGTTATTTTTTTTTGGCTGTTCCGCAGATAAGCTTCATATATATATATATGTGTGATAAATACAAGTGTGTCAAGGTGTTAAGAAAAGTGTACAAAAACTAGCTGCGTGCTGTGCTTTTTATTCAATTGTGACTTGTTTGAACTATTGAAAAGATGTCCAGACTTTCTTGTGTGGTAAGTGATGCGAATGTGGGCGATATATAGCTGGATTTTAAACAATATAGTAGCTTACAGTTTTGGCTGCACTGAGCTGGCAGCTGCAACTGGTTAACAGCAGCTGTAATCTCTGTCAGGCCAGCAACGATGCGGCCTGCATTAATCAGACTGCATATCAATTGTGCTTTGGCCAGGATAGCCCCAATACGAATCAAATATTCAACTGCCCCGACGGCCTGGTCTGCACGGATAAGCCGCAAATCTGTTTCCAGCGCTCCGAAATGCCCGCCAGTTGTGGCGACACCGACAGCTGTGGCCTGTGCAATGAGAACAATGTATTTGCCTGCACCTCGCGCAACACATTCGCCTTCTGTTTTGGCGCCACGACGCCCACCGCTGTGAATGGCACCTGCCCCGCGGGACGCTTCTGCGACGCCTCCAGCGTGGATATATGTGTTGCCACAGCCACAGCCGACTCGATCATATGCCATTTGGATTGATTCAATTGATTATTGTGCTTCTCGACATTCAAAAGAGGAACTTGTCAAATGAGAGTCGATATTTGGATCGCGCAGTCGATTTTCTAATTCTATAAAATATTTCCTATTTTAACGAATTTGATTACCTGAAAGATTATAAAATTCTTAAATTAATCTATTAAGAACTTTGTTAAAACATTTTAAAAAATCTTGAGAGATAGAAGATTTCGTCGCTCGCTTAACATTACTTCTTACAATCAATTCTTGAAATATTACGCTTTGTTATGAAATCAAGTATTTATATAAAAAGACAATTTCAAGTGAATAATATTTTATGAATACTATTTCAATTCAGCAAAAATGATGCAGCTGCTGTAAAGAAAATTTGTGAAAAAAATATAATAAAAACCTGCATGGTTAGCGCAAAAAATGTTTCCTGAAGTCAACTGGTGTAACAATAATAATAATATTTGCTATGCAAATGGGAAAAATGTTACACATATAAATGTTTTTTTTTTTGTTTTTTGGCAAAAACTTGCAAACGCAAATTGCGCATACGCTGTGTGGTACGTAAGCTTAATAGTTAAAAAACTTTGCATATGGGAGACAGACAAATAGTATAAGAAATAAAATATGCTGACAAACAAACTAACTGCAAGCTGGTAAAAATATGCATTATGCATAAGTGTTATCTTTGGTCGCAATAATATTGCATATTATATTAACAAACTGGTCAAGTTTTGCTTAACAGCAAGACGCAATCAGAAGTAAATAATGAACACCTGAACAAAATCCATTATCTATGCTGCGTTCAAGTTATCTCAGTTATCAGCGCTTACGCACATTTGTGCAAATTTCAAATGCTGTAAATTTGGCTCTCGATTTCCACTTGTTGCTTTTTAAGCATTTAAAAATAGTTCTGTTTAACTCTTTGCTCTGGTTAAATATTTACTTTTCAATGCTCAGTGCACTTTGATAACTTAATAGTTATTTTTGTGTATGTGTGTGCGTGCGTGTGTGTAGTTGTGTTTATTTGTGTGTCGCAAATGTATCTCTATTAATTAGAGTTTGTTTACCTTGCAAAGAGCAATAGTCAAAGACACGCTGTTATTGCAATACACGGTTTCTTTCCGCTTCAGCAGCCGCATCTGATGCACGCGCAAGTCGCAAAATGAGTTTCTAAATGTCTCCTATTATGCTTAAAATAAAAATAATATTTAGTTCTAATTAAAGTAGCAGCTGATTGTGGTATGAAAGGGAATTCGTATAACCTGAATCTGTAAAAAGAACATAAATTAGAGCTGTTGGATATTAATTGGAAGCATGGTGTGAGACAAAGGAGATAGTATCTGCCGGCCCGAGTGTGTTGTTAAGCGTTCAGTTTAGTATTCAGTGTTGAGAAGAACATAGAATGGAAAGAACATGAGTATTGCGCTACAGGACTGAGTTGAACTATTCGTTTCTCTCTTCTCAATTCTCCTGAAAAGTACATTAAATATCAGATAAAAGCGCATCTCTTAGTCGTTCACAGTTAACTAGACCATCTTATTTCGTTTAATTAGACACATTAAAGAAAACTTAATTGAGTAGCACATACCTGAAAGCGGGTATAGATAGCATAGATGGAGCTGCATTGCGAGAACTACAAAGAGAAGAAGAAAGAGAGAAAAATACTTTTTCGTGACCAAGTTAAAGGGTTTCGAGTGCGGAGAAATGAAAATAGTTTTGCTGCCAGGCAGCTGCTGCCGCCTTTCTTTAGCTTAATTTAAACTAATAATATTTACTAAAAGCTATTTAAATTGTTGGCAATTAAGCTGCGAGCCAACTTTAAATCTTAGCACACCTGTATAAGCCCAACAAGCAGTTCCCAAACTGGCCAACCTGAGGCTGTTTGCCTTAACCGAAGCAAAGCCGTTGACCAACTTTGCTGTTTGCCAACGTAAAGTTTGGTTTAAAAATTTACGAGTCTTTGCTGCCTGTTTTATTTTCTATTTTTTTATGTTATCTCTTTTGTTTTTTTTTTTATACCCTGAACCCATTAAAAATGGGTATAAGGGTATATTGTATTTGTGCAAAATCCAAAATGTATGTAACAGACAGAAGGAGACATCTCCGACCCCATAAAGTATATATATTCTTGATCAGCATCAATAGCCGAGTCGCGATCTAGCCATGTCCGTCTGTCTGTCTGCCCGTCTGTCCGCTTAGATGTAGGTGCTCCTAGTGCTTGCGCAGATCGAGTTTGTTTCCGATAATCGATAACTTACTCCGTTTCCAAGCAATCGATAAAAATCGATATCGATATCCTGTTTTTTGGGCAATTTTGGTAAATAATAAGAGCTAGAGTCACCAAACTTGACATATAGCTTCTAAAATAGAATATATATATGCATTTGATGTTGGAAGGGCAGGGTTCAGGGTATCCCTTAGTCGGGGGCTCCCGACTATAAGCTCTTACTTGTTTTTTCGCGTAGGCGTGTCTGTGTGCGCGCGTGTGCATGTATTTGCACTTGTGTCTGTGTGCGCGAGTTTCCGTTTCCGGCTAACAACGTTGCGGGTCTGCCGTTTGTCCTGCTTGGCGCGTTGGTTCGCTGGCATTAAGTGCAGCTCACACTCAGAACGCAATAGGCACACACACACACACACACACACACACACACACACCCACACATGTGCAAAAGGTGTGCACAGTCGCTTGGCAATTTCGGTTTTGATAGCCTCAACAGAGAGTCGCTTTACTGTTGCAGGCGTTTGGTAAAAAAAATAATTGCGAGTGACTTAAATTTCTGTTTTTTAATTTTACTCATATTTATTATTTGGTAAAATCAAATAATTTAATAAAATAACTTATTTGTTTATTAAAACTATTTTTTTTTTTTTATCAAAAGTGTATATCTCTTGGGCTTTTTTTTTTGTTGTTTATTATATATTATATATATATTTATATTGACAATTTATTATTTTATTACATTATTTAATACTATTTAGTTATTTATTTGCTTTTTACACGGTTTATTCATTCCATATTTCATCCTTGGGCTTAGTTTCATATTTATTATTATATATAGAATTTAATATTTTCTCACAATATTTATTACAATATTTACAAAATGTAATGTATAAAAATTGATTTAATTTAAATTAAAAGAAAGAAAAAAACCAATATATATCAAATATATATTCCTTGTATTTATTTTATTTAAACTAAAACTTAGCTTCAAGCTTTTCTTTAAGTTTTAAAATGTTTTAATATCTTAATTTCTTAATTTTTTCTATAAAGTCGTTTATTCATAGACTTCAGCATTGATTTTGCAGTTAAAACAATTTAAAATCAAAATTAAGCAAAAAGAAAATTGGGTAAATTGTAAAAACAAATTTAGTCAAGAATTTATTTAATACAAAACTAATTTATGTATTTACATTGGCAACATATATCTATATATTCTTTCAATTCGTTGTTTACTTTGTATTAAATTTTCATTATTCTTTTTTAAGAATTTTTAAATTCAGTTATCATGCGCCTGTTTGTGTTTTATATTCATTGAACACTCCAGACAGCATTGCTTGTTGCAGGCATTTTTACATTTTGGCGCATTCTGATTTCTTCTCTTTCTTTCCTACGTTTTTATTAGCCAAGTCTCTCTTTCATTTTTAACTGCGCTGTTTACTGGTTGTGTGTGCCGGGGCCAATGTATTATTAAAATTACAAATGTAACATTTTATTTAAAAGTAATTTGTGGGCTGTGCTTTGGTGTCTTGTGTGTCTGTGTTGCTGTGTGTGTGCCTGTGTGTGTTTATTGTTGTTGTACTTTATATAAAAACTAAGCTTTCGTTTGTGTCTCTTTGGCCCAAAAGTAGCTTTGCCTTGCAAACTGCAAACTGTCTTTTGTTGCTTTACATTTTTGATTTTCCTGCACTTTGGGATTTTTTAATGTTTGTGGAAGCCACATCAACATTTTTTGTTTTATATATATATATCTGGCATTTGCAGCATAGCTCCAAGTCCATTCTACCACATTTAAGCGCCTTACAAAGTGCAAACAAATGCAGCAAATGCTTTCAATAAAATTGTAAATATTCAATTATTCTTTCATGGGCATGCACACATCACCCGATGTCCCTCTCAATTGCCTTGCCATTTGCACTTTTGTGCAAAATCCTAAAATTGTGTGGGCACCATTTCGCCCCAAAACCAACCCATTTGCCATCAGGTAAGCCCTTATTCATTTGTTTGCCCGCTTGGCTACACACATTGGAATTTATAGAATTTCTCTGTAAAAATGTATTTTTGTTCCGGTTTTAGACATTTTCTGCCCAAAAACATTTTAACTGAATTCAAATTGAAAGCACTTGATTTGCTGTCAGTTCAGCTCTGACTGCTCTGTCAATTATTGGACTAAATCTACGGAATTGTTTTGGTTTTGTTCATTCGGTTAGGCAAATGAATTGAAAACGTGTAAATAAAACCTTATCTGCAGTAAATTGGAGTGGAATACCATGATGTGTCAGAAAATTCAGCTAAATGTCAGAGATAGATAGATATCTGATTCTAAAACTCACAATTTCTTTTATTTAATTGAAACATTTATGGATCGTTTGTTTGCAGTCTTTATGTACTTCTGGTTCAGTTACCGTCAGGAAAAAGGCTAACAAAAGTCGTTTATTTTTGGCAAGGCTAAAGAATTGCGTCACAATTTCAAAGTTGCCAGCCGGAAATTGTTTTGACATTTGTTGTGGTTGATAAAGCAGCTCATTTGCCATATCCGCCCCCTGACCACGCCTCTGCCTATAACTAGTTGTTTTATTCCTGCACGGATGTAACTTTCGCTGTGAATTTGTTATTTCTGTTGACTTCGTTGGCCAACTGAGCTTTGGGCGTGCCCCGTGCCACGCCCACTTCCCATTTCCCATTCACATTTAGCGACATTTTCATTTACGATAATTTCAGTTGTCTGCCCTTGTGTGTGTTGAAGAAGGCTCAACTGCCAGATATACAAATGAGTTTAAAAATGCGCTGAATA